GTTCCAGTTTTGCACACAGACCTTCTAGAAGTTACCCTTCTCAACCTAGATAGCAAGTATTTTTCAGCAAATTGATTTAAAGCATGGTTTAGAATAATGACCACATTTAAGAAAATTATGAACTGTTGAGAAGCAGTTCATGAGTGTAGAAATGTGATCCATGGATTTTTTTCTCTCAATTAGGTAAAATTCATTTCAATAATAAGGAAGACTAATAAAAAGGAAGAAACAAATCTACATTAAGATGCCCAGACAACATTTATCTCCCATTACCTTCAGTAAGAATTGTGTTCACTTGGGTCTTATTAGTATTTTTGACACATAGTTCTGAAAAAATGTTTAAAAACATTAAGAAGTCATCAAAATTAAGGAAATTCATAATAAATGTGCTACATATGTATAGCAACATAAGCAGCAAAGCTCATAACTGCTAGTCTCCAAATCTCAAGCTTTGGACTGTCATGCTTTTATCATGTACAAATTTCACTGGATTGTCCCTAGTATGGAGATTCCTGGTAGTACATGCTGGCATGATCTCTCTGGTATGTAATTAAGATTTATCTTGAGATTCAGAATCTTTTTCAGTGAGGAAATTCACTTCTACCCAGCCATTAAATTTGGTTAAAATTGGCCTGCAGGTACAAAAAGTAGTGAGATAGATGCATACATGCACAAGGAAGTTTAAGTAATACTATGTAATTCTCCTTTATAAGAATTCTTTTATGTGGCAGGGTAAAGGTGGTTATCTCATCCTAAGAATTAATTTATTTTAAAAATTGAACTCATATCAGTCCTTTGAAATAAATGCAAAAAACCCCCAAACTTTTAGTTCTCTGGAGCTACTACAAAATTACCCTCATATTTTGTGTGGGGAATCTGGTACTCACAAAGAATGTTAAAAAAACTCCTTAACTTTCATTTACAGTCCATCAGTCATCTCATATTAAGGAAAGATCTTTAATCCATTCTATTCTGCACCTTTCCATTACTCATCACCATCCATAATGCAAAAATATCTTAGAATCGAACTATGAGGAATATTGCTCTCCTCGGGAATAATTCTAAAGCAGCAGGTGCTCATGCTTTGTTAAAAAAGTGGTAATAGTTCAAAATTCCATATATCACATGGGTTTTTGACTTACTCAAGGTATCTTCAACCTTTATTCATATAAAATAGTAAGAGATGTGTGACAAACAGCTACTGTTCCAAAAATCAATATCAAGGTCTGTTTTGCTATCTCATCAAAGTTTCCTTCTGGAATGCTTCTTCCACTGACTCCTGCAGATTGCCCAAAGTGAAAGGACCTTGTTCATTCTTGCCTCCGTAGAAGCCACTAACAAGAATTTGAAAAAATCTCTGTGAAGCAGTTCTGTTTAATATGTGTTTCTACCTGTGAGTAATAATTTTTATGTAATTATTAAATAAGAATCATGGTAGATCTCTTTCATAGCATTAGATATGGCATGATTAAGTAAACTACTTGAAAGCCTTCCTTAGGGAAAAGGATATTTAATCAGTAAACTCAAATCCAGTAAACTTCAGTGGGTGTCCTAGAGTGATGTTATGGTGTTTGTATCTCAAATCGTGTGTTCTGTGTATGTTTGATATTATGTTCTGTGCTTTCAGAACTGACTCTGAAAGTGAAGGTTTGTTTTACCTTGTTGTCAGCCGGTTCACCTCCCCCCATGGTCTGCTGTCTAGAAGAGGCTGGTGCTGGCTGGCTTGCTTGGCTTTCTTGCTTGGCTTGCTTTTGCTTGCTTGCTTTGCTTGCTTCTGCTTTTGCCTTTGCTTCCTAGTTTAGCTAAGCAGTCCAATTCTTTCCCTGGACTGTTCATTTTCCTTTCCTTTTTCTGAATACCATCCAACCTGCTCTGAACTGGGACCTGGAAACACCGAGGAACACCGAGAGCCTGCGCTCTGTGATCTGCAGCAGCCATCCCCAGTGCCCAGCCCCAGGTGATCACTCCCAGGAAAGACTTTCTAGATTTGTTCATCTCTTCAGTGTGGTGAAAGAGTTTTGTTGTCATCTGGTGTTGTTAATTTTCTTTTTGGTGCTGGGGGGTGCTTTGTTTGTTAAATAAGCGGGTTCTTTTCCACTTCTCTCAGAGAAAAATTTTTCCTGAACCACGTGGGTGGGGAGGGGCCGTGGGGGTTTGTTTTCTGAGGGCTCCTTCCAGAGGGTTTTCCCCAAATTTGCCCTAAACTAGGACATTGGGACTTCTGGCGCACCTTGCTTTCATTGTATATATGGGTTGTACATATCAGAGAAGTATATTTACCCCAGTTTTTCAAGGACTATTAACCATACTGTGACATTTATTTTTGTCTCCTAACACAGAGGAACAATCTACAATGGGATGATGAATATAAAGAGGTTGAAAATAAAGATTTCCTTAAAAAATTCTTCCTGCTACAATCAGAAATTTTAAAAGTAGCTTAGCTCCCAAACTGCTTTGTCAGTTTCCTTTCTCTAATTTCTTTGCCCTTCACCAGGAAACATCCAAGAGTTTTATTGGAGAAATAGATACAATAACTACTTTTACAGTTTTTTAGTGTTAGATCTCTCTTCTTGGAAGGATAACATTAATAGTGAATACACGGATTAATCAGACAATACACTAACAGAATAGAACAATCAGCTCATAAACTATATTATTAAGTCCTCTTTTGTTGGTTTTGATTTCTTTTCCCTATTTGAAATTTATCTCCTGATGATGTCAAAAACAAAGCTGAGCAATAAGATCTTACATTACTGATAATATTCTTTAATTGATGTATCTCAATTTTTTGCCATTCTTATTTTTATAAAAGATTTTTTAAAAGTCTGTGTTCTTCAGTCAAGATGTACAGCACAGAACTTTAGTCTGCTCCCTGCTTATATGAACTACTGTGGGATGACAATTTCTTAGGCAATAGTACTGGTTGTAAATGATCACATAAACCAAAAATTGAAGCATTCAGTTTATTACATATTATATGGGATGAACTGAGTGATATAGTGGATGATGGTGAACTGTGAGACAATTTATTTATCCTTTTTCATTAAAATTTGATATGCAGTCATAACTCAGAGGGCAGAATGAAATTTCCTAGTTCACAATAGAGCATCCTCCACATCTCAGATTTTAAAATAAAGCAGTAGTTACTGCAAACAAAACATTTCATTTAAGAATAACATTGGGATCAAAAAGATAAATACAGTCATTAATCAGTACTAATTATGATTTTGATACCCATATTGGTCAGCTTGCTCTAAATGCAGCAATTTAACAAACAAAATGGCATTTAACACCTATTTATGCTGTTCTATAATTTACCATGGATAAAAATAAACATCTATCTCAGTTTTCCTTACAGAATCTGTCTGGAATACCTATCAATAGTATTTTATTTATCTATTTAAATGTATGTAAGAAACTCCTCACCATGACATTTGATGATCTCTCTAGTTATAATTGTAAAAATAGTAATTCTAAAAAATGTCATGCTTCCTCTTGCCTGACTGCATTAGAAAAGCTAACAGTTCTGATATTTTTATTCCTAAATAATATCACTTCACAAGGGAGAAAAACCCTTTAATGACTGACCATCAAAGGCAGATACAAATGAATGAATAAAGGAAGGAAATAATATTACCATCCAGAAATGCTGTAATAATATTACTCAGGAATTTTCATGTAATCTCTGTCCCAACTCATCACTCCTGGTTGGATGCAAATATTTATCTCTTACTATTTTTGATAATGATTTTCTATGAAAGAAGAATTAAAGAAATGTTTGCAGCCCAACTCTACAGTCATTAGCCATGACACCTCACAGAATTACAGCCTTTCCTACAATAGGATTAAGCAGCTATGTGTTTACAACACATATTTTTCTTAGAGGAAAGAAAATAAAAAAAAAAGTGAAAAGTACTTACATAGTAAAAAATATGGCCTTCCATGACCCTTTTCACCCTGAGCAAACAATCTTAACAGGAATTTTTCTACGGGTACACTAATGGTGCACCACTTATCACCACTGCTGGAGACAGAATACCGAGCTAGGTAAGACCTTTGGCATGACCCAGTATAGTTATTCTTCTGTGCAAGTTACAATGGAAAAATTCAAAACCCAAAACACTAAAAAAAAAAAAAAAAAAAAAAAAAAAAAAAAAAAAAAAAAAAAAAAAAAAAAAAAAAAAAAAAAGGAGAAAAGAGGGAAGAAATCAGTTGAAGTGCACAAAGTTTATTTATTTATACAAGCTTGGAGATTTACTGTCAAGATAGTATACTTATAAGCAATATGGCAGTCAATGAATGTTTATTACAGGAAGGAGGAATCATTAAAAATTTAAATCAGAATAAAAATTGAAATGAAAAAAATCACAGGTCATTCTGAAATAATTTTCTCCCCATATTTCATTTTGGAAGAAATTATGTACATCCTTTCTTTTCTGCAGGATCTAATCAATATGATTTATTTTTCTGTGCAGTTAAAATGTACAGCTTTCCAAGAGGATATACCTTGTTTTATGTCTGCATAACAGTGGTATTTTTCATTAACAAAAATTCTGAAATAAAAATTCCACATTGTCTTTAATATGCCTCTATATGTGATGCAGATGCGCCCAGATATGTGCACACACACAGACACACCCTCAGATGGAGCAGAAACCCTTCTCAGGTGTTTATTTTAGTTATTAAGGCCACATCTGAAGTATTCTGCAAATGTAATGCCAAAAATCCATTAGGAGCTAGCTCATTTTTAAATAGCTACCTTAAACACTATTAAAATTAAAAAGGGACCAGTTAAGTTACTCTCTTGATCACATCCTTAGGAGATGGTCATCAAGAATAAGCTATTTTCTACCTCCTTTCCTGTTCTATCTTCTTTTTGGATTAAATATTTCTCCTTGTACAGGGAGACCTACACAAAGCTTACTCACTTTGTAAGCCTTACATAAACCTATTTTCAGGCTTAGTAATGAGCAGACTTTTCAGAAGCTTAGTGAAGAGGAGTGAAATTAAGCTTTTCCAAAAGTAAGATACTGCCTGTAGAACAGAAATACTCATTTGCAGAGCAGCCTACAATCTTTCTGGAAATAATATACAGTTACACTCTGCAAATGAGATGTATTATCATTATGTTGATGAGAAGATCAAATATTTCTTTTTCTTCCATAGTCAAAATATTGTTAATGGATGATTTTCTGCCTGGAAGGACATTTTATTGAAATTATGTGCTGGGCCCACCACTCGTTGACTGAATAAGATGAAAACAAATGAAAAAAGCAACCTGTATGAGACAACTTCAACGGGAAAAAACCAGAATCAGAAATTGGTATGTTCATTCTTACTCTGTATTATATCTCTTTTGTCTTTCCTTTTAAATCTTGTCTTGTTGGATTGTGTGCTCTTCAGATCAGTGATTTCTTATAGAGATTTCAGTGAGTGCTGGCAACAATGGTGTAAATTCCTAGCTGTTTCTTAGGCATTGTTACAGTACCAATGCATGAAAACCAGCAAGGATGTCTCCCTGAAATGTTTAACTATACAGTCTGAAATCTTCAGGGCTGCCATCATATTTCAATGAGAGTTTGGCAATTTTAGACTCCTGTTCTTTCAGACTTCAGTTTTGCTTGTTTGTTTACTATGTTGCCGATCTATATTTATTTTTCAGTTTTTCTGTCCAGCTATGCTAGTTATTTTAAATAAAATTATCACTTAAAAGATTATTTTCTATAATTTTAAATGCATGATACATCAATCATTCTGTCAGTTGAAAGACAGTGCAGTGCTATGCTTAGCTGAAGTGGTAGTCTTGATGATGGTAACGAGCTATTAAATTTGCTTATGCAGTTGTGAAAGGAAGAGCCTAAGAATTATAATGGAAGGCAACATCCTCACCATGCTCACTTCTGGGTATTTCTACCAATTAGAAAAGAAATATGTAAAAGATGGCAGAGACACACTAACATTTGCACACCTTTACTTTGAACTACCTTCAGGCTGATGCTACAGTTCCTTCCCACTCCCAAGCATGTCTCCTAATTCCCTCCTAGTTCCACAGTCACGCTATGCCAACCAGACCCACCCAGGTCATTGAGGAAAGCAGTAATGACTCCAGGGCTATTTTTCACTTTCAGTTGCTGTTATGGAGTGTTTGAAAACTTGATGAATATCAGACTGCATTTTAGCATAATACTAAGGAACTGAATAAAACATGGAGATACAGAAGACCAATTGATATGAATGACATATCTCTGCTATCTATTAGAAAGACTGCATACACAATAGATTTTTTGGTTGGAAAAAAGAACAGGAGGACTTTACTAGAGCCATTTGCCAGTTGCTCAGTGAATAAGTCACTGGCATAAGAAAGCCAGCTTCCCTGTTGAAAATGTTAGTTGCATTGCTCATGCATCATGCACACTCACTGTGTTCTGGCTATCAGTAATAGCAGAGGTCGAGGAAACAGCTCAGTTTTGATTTCCACCAGCTTTCTAGTGAAATCATAATACTGCTTTAATGACATCACAGTCTCCTAAAGTTTAATTGTCTGCATTATTACTTCAGTCCAGGATCAAGAAGTACAGGACAACATAATTTCAATAGAAAATACAGATAGGATACGATAGGATGCACACTTGTTAACATCCGTTATATCGTTATATCTCACATATATCTTTTCTTGATTATACATGTCTCTAAAACATATTTTATCAAATGCTATATACAGAATCCTACAGAGCATTCCTATTGAGCATGCAAGTACAGAGAAATAACTGCATAAGCCAACTTTCCTGGTTGCTTGGAGAGATGGAAGGGAACAGCTAAACACCCTGCCTGTTCCCTCACAGGAAGAAGTCAAAACAGCTCCTATCAGAAATGTGCCTTCCAAAAAAAGCCACGTGCAACACAAGTTGCGTATCACTGATTTAGTCAGTTCTTCCATCTGCAAAGAGCCCAAAATGCTTTATAACTTTACAAGAAGAATTTCATCCACCACTGAAGTGCAGCCGCCTATGGAGTAAAACTTGGCAGCTGTTTAACAGAACACATAAATCCTACACAATAGTTTAGGGGAAGAATTTTTAAAGAATAGTGCAGATGGGAATGTAGGGAGGTAGAATTTAGTTACATAAACTGAGTGTATATATAGGCAGGAAATGCAGGTTGGCCAAAAGAAGTAAAATAGAAATTTTCTCATATCACAAAACATCTCAGGCATTTTGATATATGTCTCAGAGGAAATTATTTTGGAAGTGTTTAAATAGTACTATTTTTGTTTGTTCATTTCTCCCCTGCTTTCTCCCTCCCCCACTCCAGGTCTATTTTAATCATTCTATCCATCTGCACATTAATTGAGAATGAAGTCATATCAATGCTCAATGACAGCCACTAACACCACTAGCTATGAGGTAAAATAAATTGTCAGTACATAGAAATATTATCTCATCAAATATAAAACATTTACAGCATTTTCAAAGTTGAAAGCCAGGTCTGTAACGCTTGTTCACATATGCAATTCTTGATTTTCTATAGCATAAAATTCTCATTTTGCCTCTTCAAGACAATATTTTTAATGCTTTTTTCCACTAAGAAAACATTAATATGCCCAAATTTATACTAATAGTTTCAGTAAATTAATTTTGCAGAAATTGTACAGAGAGAGAAAAAGGAAATGCAAACATGACTTTGGAATCTCTTTTTCTGTGTTAGTTGCTTTATGAGCCCCTTTAGGAACTGTGTATGGTAGAAAGCACCAGCAGTGTCTCTGGGCTGCTAAGTGAGACATGGACTCATAGAACAGTCATAGTTGGAAGGGATCTTTAAAAGTCACTTATTTTAAATTCTCCTGCAATAAGAAGGGACATTTTCAACTAGATCAGGTTGCTCAGAGCCCCTTCCAACCTGACTGTGAATGTTTCTGGGGTTTGAGACATCTATCACTGCTCTGTGTGAGCTGTTCCAGTGTTTCATAGCCCTCATTGTAAAATTTTCTTTCTTATATCTAGTTTATCCTCTTTTAGTTTAAAACTGTTACCCCTGTCCTATCACTACAGGTCTGCTGAAAAGTTTGTCCCATCTTTCTTGTAAGCCCTTTTAAGTATTGGAAGGCCACAGTAAGGTCTCCCTGGAGCCTTTTCTTCTCCAGGCTGAGCAACTCCAATGGTCTCAGCCTTTTCCTCACACAAACCCCCATTAGTTTTCCAGAGAATCAAGAAGAGGGAATGCAATGTGTGTGTTTATTTTAAGAATCTTTGCTGACTTAAGTCTGGCTCAATATTATTCAAATAGAGTACTGGGAAGTGGAGGGATTTCATATAACCCATTCACCCTGAAGTCAAAAAGGACAAAGTCATTCATAGTATCAGTTAAAATGCATGGAAATTAGGAAAAACTGTTATCAGTAAAATGTGTTCAGTAGACTAAGTAAAACTAATCAAAATCCTAACAGCTAAGAAGACCTGTACAAGATAAAGATCTAAATAGCAAGAAAAAGAGTTTCCACTTAAATGTTTTGTTTGCAATGTTTTTTAAGATGTCTGAATATACTATTCAATTATTGTCTCTAGTACACTGAAGCAAACTGTCTGTACATAGTGATACTATTAATTACCAAAGTACTTGCAATAAAAGTATTTTGATCTTATGTAGTTTTGAGGATTGCCTTTTGTTTATCTGGGGTTTTATATTAGTTATTTTATTAGTATAATGGATGGTAATGATAAATTCTCCTCAAATTGTTGATAAATACCCAATGTCTAGCTTTTCCTGGCATGCTAACCATGATGTTCTGATAATTCATTTATATCATCAAGGCTAGTGACATACAAATGATACTGAAAATTTTAAGGCAGAAATAGGCAAACTAGCTTTCCTAAAAATGCATCTCTTCAAAAAATCACAGTTTGGTGATTGCCGGCATCTCTTAATAAGCTCTTGAACTGTAATACTAATAAAATACTACTGCATTTGCTTGGTACATCAGCCAAAGCAATCACATACTTTGCCAAAAAGACAGGTGTTAACAAGTGCTTCAGTTTTCTTTATCAAAGTAGTTACTGCTCAGTAAATACCTGACCTTAACTTTAAAGTTTTTATTGACAGTGTAATGATGATACCAGCTAAGGAGATTTGGCTGGGCTGCTGTAAGAAGCAGGGAGACCCCAATTTAAAAACAGTAGTGCAGAGAATACGATTCCCACTCCTTCAACATTTATTGGTGTTAAATACTAAGCTGCTGTGCTTTCTTTGCCCCTGATCAGGTACATATGCTCAGACTCACAGGTAGCCAGGAGTCAGTGCATAGCTCCTTCCAGAAAGGAGGCTTGGGCATGACCTGCATGCAGCTGAGCACCAGGGAAGCTGTGAGCAGCCTGTCATTCTGATTACATGGCCTGTTGAGAACAAGGGATTTAAAACAAATGGAGCCAACATAAGCTGGCAGTTTAAGGAGAAAAGGTTGGTTATTGCCAGAATTTATGGTACAAAAGGACAGTCTTTGCCAGTATTTTAAAAATTATCATTCCTTGCCAAAAAGTACAATTGCCCCACATCAGAGCTTCTCACACTATTTCTAGGAAAAACATTTCTATACAGATAGACTGGACATTCTATATACTGCATAATTACAGTAGATAACAGAACTGCTAAATCCTTATTTTTGTAGAAAATCCACTCTGACAAAGCCGGCTGAATGGCTGCTATCTGCTCTTGTCCCCTTTGACTCACAAAGCCTGAATTCAAACCTGAATGCCACTCACAACGCTCTGTCTTAACACTTGGAAGCTCTTTACTTGACATAGAAAACAGAAAATTCTCAACACTGTCACCCACCTATATACAAATCCATGATAGGACTCCACTCTTATAGTGTCAAATATGCTTCAGGGCATCTTTTAAAATTTCTCCTCTGAATTCCTCTGTCATTTCCACTGGGAATATGCACTCCATCAGAAAAAAACTCAGGGAAGAGACACAGAGTGTTTAATGATGGGGAAGAGTTTGAAGAAAGCTTTGACCAGTCTAACCACTTCTGAATGACTCCTTGAAGATCACATTCAACTAAAGTTAAAATGATAAATTATGGTAAATAAATACTGTCTATTTCAATGTCTTAAACAAGCCTGTTAGTCCCTGACAAATCCAGTTGTAGGAAGTAGAAGGAAATACCTGTCTTGTATATCTGCCCATATGCTTCAGGCCAGGGAAGGGGTATGAGCAAGCAGGCCATGATTTGGGATATTTCAGAGAAAATTTTATTTAGCTGATATGAGCACAGTCACATCCACAAATCAGCCATGACTTTACAAATTAAGGTTGAAGTCTTGTTCACTTAAGCCAAAATTATTGGGAAAGGTTCTGATGTTTTGGCTATGAACTGACACAATGGGCAGGTCACAGCTCCAATCAAGGCTCCTGGTGCTGCCATTTCTGAAGAAACCTGGTAGCAAAGAGCTGAAAGAGGACAAGGACAAGTTCCACCCCCCACCTTGGCCCATGCTGCAGGCAATGTCAGTGCTGCCAGTTGCCCACACCTCCGTACCGACTCGGCTCCACTTCCATTGGACTCCACAGTGGGAGCAGCTGAGGAGACAGATGGAAAATGCCTCCCACATCTCCCCACAGGAATAGGGCTCACCTTGGTGCTACAGTGGTGACAACAATGGCACAGGTCAGCAGCCTTGTTTAGTGGGTTGCCAGCCAGTGTGTAAATAAACCTGAGGCTAAAATCCCTCGCTCGTACAGATAGAACTTTTCTTGTCTTCCAATAGAATTGTTCCACAGCAGAAGAAATCAGCAGCTGGGGATAAAGAAGATAGCTGAGGAGATATGGCCAAGGAGAGTGAAGGTAAGGCTGGAGGGACCATGAGGGGGAAAGACTTGTAGCTGGTCAGAACCCAACACTAAATACCTTCCCAATATTAACCATTGCCCCAATATCCCTCTGCCTTCCCAGCTGGCAAGAGGCACTGCTCAACTAGGCAGCATCTGTTTTTGGTCTGGGGCCAAAATGTATCAGTCAGCCAATAAGTGAATGTTATAAACACAATCTACTGGACTAACTCTAGGATATATATTTTCAAAGTTCATATTTATAGTTTGCAAACTCTGTCTTTCAGATAGCAAGTCCTAGTAGCACCAGAAGCTGTTGAATATTCCAATCAAACACAAAATTAGAACAGAATTCTGTGCCACAAATACAAAGTAAAGCCATCTGCCAAATTTCTAAAATACCTCACCTAGAGATCTGGTAATTTCTCTTTTAACATAAGCATAATATACAGCCTGCCCCTAAAGAAGCAACCTCTGCTATATTTAGCATATTTTATAGTAAATCCTAATCACTGAAAGCCTATATTTATGCTATGTGCAGATTTAAAGATGACAACCATTCCGAAGTTTCAGAAGAAAGGACAACATTTTTCTATTATTTATTAGTTCATTTTAGGTCACTGGAGGACTTCCAAAGACATCTTCCTTTTCTGTATTATAAACCCTAAGAGTTAAGTAAGTATTCTCAAATAAGCACAATTTACAGTATGTCAGCTTAAAATAAAATCATAACACATTTCTAAATTGATAGAAATTGCATAGCACCAAATGAGAAATAGGGATTTTATCCTCTCATTTATACATGCTTGTCTCTCTGTCTATAAACATATGTTTGCACATACTGTGTATTGATAGATTAACATTACTTAACTCTGCATTTGCAACACTGTACTTAAAGTTGTGTCTGCATTTTTACTTCAGAGGTTTATATCTCAGCTATAAAATATTCTCTCTAAGCCGAATCTTGGCAAAGACTGACAAGCTACAAATTATTATTTTCTTTTTAGAAAAATTAAAAGGAAATGTCAAGACAATAATCCCTTCTTCTTCATAGTGCCAATAGGATGCAAAGATTGATCCAGAATGCAAGTTGGTAACTCAACGAGAGCCAAGAGAACAAATTTTCGCTACTATGGACTGGACTTGTTTTGCTGTGGGAGTGAAATTCTGCACCCTTTTAGCCACTAGTGTGTTTTCCATTCTTCCTCTGTTTTCTGCAACTTAAGAGTTTCTCAGTTTTTACCAACTTAAGAGAAAACATAATTTCCTTAAACCATTTACCAGTCATCTGTAAATGTTCATGATTAACGACAGCTCTATTCCAAATTTTAGTGGAAAATGGCAGAACTGATTCAGAAACTGGTAAGAATAACCTGGGATTTCATGTAAGCGCTGGCTGATGACACAGAAGCAGTGAAGACACAATGCTAACAGATCTGATGGGATAACAAGCTCTCCTCAGCCAACAACTGGAGTTGATTTTAGAGGAACTTTATATAAGCTGTGGCAGGAGGAGAGATATGGGGCAATATACAAAGCAATAGTTCTTCAGCATATCCCACAAGTGGGCCTGTTTCTTCCCTTCTGTCCTGTATATATGTTATTTATAAATCCTGGCACTGTGACAAAGAGACAAGATTTGTCCTTTAATATATCTACCCAAACTGCAACAGTCAATGAACTTTTATATAAGCATTTCTGCCACCAGAGCTTAATTAATTCAAATGAAGCAGTATGGGAGGCTGGATCAAAAGTTGACCATCATAAAGAACAACATTAAAATTTATTCTGAAGAGTGAAAAAAAAAAAAAAAACATGAAGGATTAAGTAGGAATTTTGTGTCTCACAGGAACACCATATGCCAAAATATGCCACCCTTAGATAGAACTTCTGCAAGCAGTCTGTCTGCAGCAACTGCACTTCAATCCAAGATAGCCAATGAAATTATATGTGCATCCTGTGGGATAAATTGTATCTCCAGGAATGTGTAAGGTGAGGAAGGTTTCTTTTCATAAGAAGCCAGTGAAAATTATTTGATTATGCAAAAGGATTTGAGATAGCTATGTAATAGACCTCATCAGCCTTCACTGGCTGAAAAAGTACTGGGGCATGTTTAGCAGCAGTTGAGGGCCCTCTATGTCACTAACCTAAGGCAAAACTGGTAGAGGCTTGTTTAGGCTTAGAGGATTGATAGCATGAGGATAGACACCTCTAGGCAACAATATCTAAAGCTACCCCACATGAACTGATTGAGCTGGAGACTCAATTTCCACAGGGCAAGGTCTGCTGGCAGTCTGCATTGACTGGGCAAGACCAGAATGCACAGAATTCTTATTAAAAAGTGAAGATCACCGAAGATCACAGGCCTTGCCATCTCCTGGCACCTGTGGCACATCCCAAACTACCCTTTATAAATAATTGCTCTTTTCAGTTTTGCCTGATCCAAGCTAGTGGCAAAATGAATGTTATAGTGGACTGTAGGGAGCCTCAGTAACATACTGCTCATAACTAAGTAAGAATAAGACAGATTCTTCTATGTGAGCCCAAGTATTGGGAGAACAGAATTATTTAAGTACATAGCATTTCATCGACTTCCATAAAACATTTCATTCATCTTCATTTAACATCAAACCCTCAAATATATCTATTTATCTAATGTATTTTAATTAAGCAGAGGACAGATGAAGAGCTTTTCTTTCAAGATCTCCAGTTGCACTCTGCTGCTCTAGTCAATGAAAGTGAGACTGTAAAAACACGCCCTCATTATTAACACTAATTTTTACTTCATTTTCATTTTTGCTCTTAGAGACTGGATTGTTCTGCTATGCATACAGGAAAGCAGGCACTGGGAAGGAAGTAAACTTATTCATTCCAAGCGGTAGAACAGCTTTGTTTGATGGTATTTTGTGGTTTTTATACCTATCTAAGGATCTTTACTGGTAAAAGGAGTAGGCAACTTCTCAGGATATGAGAAGTTGAAAGACTTCTTTCGTCTCTCCTCACTTCATGGTTACCATTCCAAGTTCTTCTGTGCAAATGGTATCAGTTACTTCCACAGAAGAAAGAATCCAAAAATGCACATTTTCAGATGAGATTGTATCCTCAGGCATTCCTGTGCTGACCATCATTGCTCAGTGACAGTACTGCAGTTTCAGTGGAAGTGTTTTTTACTTCCAAGCTCTTTAAAAGCGAACATTCCAGAACTGAAGTCTGATCTACATGTGTAAAAGATGAGGCTGGTGCAGAGACCTGTTAATTTTAGTGCACTTTTGTATTCTAACCCCAAATGTTTGTTTAATGCCACCAGTTTGTAAGACTAGGGTCTTTGACAAATTGTGTGAATAAAACCAGCACCAATGAAATGTATTTCTGATGTGAAATATAGCCTGCTTTTAAAAGTGGTCATCATGATTACATGACAGTTTTGAAATAAAGAGTGTTTTTCCAGTTGAAACTAAAAGAAAAATTATCAAATTATAATCTTGGAGGTTAAATATCTACACCATCAATATCTATATCTATATCTATATCTATATAATCTATATCTATCTCTATCATCTATATCTATATCTATATCTATATATCTATATCTATATCTATATCTATATCTATATCTATATCTATATCTATATCTATATCTATATCTATATCTATATCTATATCTATATCTATCTATATCTAGATCTATATCTATATCTATCTATACCTATATCTACCTGACACTTTTTCATAAGTGATCATAAAATCTTTACATGTCATTGTATAACAGAACCTCTAACAGCACAGTGGCCCCATGACACAAATCTGTCATACTACTTCACTGAAATAATGCCCAATAAAAAGTTAGATAATCAATATTGTTTCCTGTATATAGCATTTGAGTTTCCCCTGGAGCTTTGATCCATGAACTGATCCAGTCTAATCCTACTTAGGTTTGAGTTCAGAACATATGGAATAGGTAGCATGAAATCAGATGCTCAGGAAATAGAAATGTTCTACCTATTATCAGTCCCAGAAAACAGACATGCTTCTTCCAGCCCTGTCAAACAAAACTACATTTTACTCTGAAGGACTACAAAACATTATGTAAAATATTTTGTGTTTTTCGTACCTCATTACTTAGAGTTATTTTATGTCTTATTACGTTAAGGTAGCTGATTATGATACAACTTCAGATAGTAACCCCCAATAAAAAGCAAAAAAGCAGTTCACAAAGAGAATGCAGCAAACCTAAATTTAGTATTCTTTCCTATGAAACTAATTTTTTCCCTTGAAAGGACAAAACAATGGCTTCCTTCATCTCAGTAAGGCAACACATTATTGCTTAAGAGGTACAGTGATTTCCATTGTTTTTAAATTACAAATGAGATATGAAGATGCACCATTTTGATTCTGCTTTTGGTTAGTTTATTTTTCTGTCCAGTTTTGGTGGTTTTCATTTTGGCTTTTTTTTTTTTTTTTCATTCTGCACTGTAACTCAAAAAATCTAGATAAAACTTTCTAACAAAAATTTACCTCAGATTTGTCACATAGGTATTCTCACTAAACTTTACTTTTGTGTGCAGCCCTATGCTGGAAAGGTATCAGTTGTTCCAGAGTGATGCTGGTTGACTCAATAAATCATTCTCAGAAAATTCTCCATTATATCTTCTCAGCAGAGTAGGCTCATCTGCAAGTGATTGACAACAACTCAGCATTCATTTGGGTTTTTTGATTTATTTAAATACATTCATTATTGCTCCAATACCACAATGATGTGTATTAAAAATAGATGATACATAGCTAATCCTAGCAGTTCCATAAAATTGTAAATTATTTTGTGGTAACTTTGCTGCAATGAATAGTCACATAATATGTTCATTGTACCTTTCAGAGACACTATGCAAAGATAGTTCAATGTCCACCTCATAAAACAGGGTGTGCTTGAGTGTGGTAAAGACAGGGCTAAAGGAGGGTGACAGTGCTCTTTGTAATGGAACAGGGCTATCCAATCATCTCACTGCTACCCTATTAGACCAACCTGTCAATCAATCATTCATTCAATAATCACTCATAGAAATCACCCCTAAATCCAGGTTATTTAGCACTTTATGCCCATTTAAAGCACAGTTATGACCTTGTAGTTAGCTTCAGTTATGCAAAATATGTGTACTGCATTTTGCATACAAATAGCAAAGGCAGGAAGTTAATAATGCTATTTCTAAAACAAAACAGCCCTAATGTTAAGTGAATAGCTTTTCTGCCATGGTTCAGCCAGGTAATGAAACATGTGCCTGAATTTAAGCACATGAATCACTCTATTGATTCAAAAGCACTCTGCAGGTGCCTAGAGTTCAGTGTGAATTTGAGTTGTCTGATGGAGAAAGGCCTCCATCAGTTACAAGAATACACTTGATGTTTGTGTAGGAAGATGTTTGTCAGGTGCTTCTCAGGACTGTATGTATACAAGGACAATAGCAGTGAAAATTACAAAATAAAAAATAAAATAATAATTAACGCAAAAAGGGATAGGTCAAGAAAATAAAGATACCAAGAGAAGCGTGGCATGTTGGTTCTGTCATGCTGTGATGTGGGCTCTTTGGGAAGGTCTACAGTGCTGCCTTGGGACCTGGATATCAGCAACCATTCCTAAACTTGCCTTCTGGCTTTCTCTCAGATGCACTGTGCTGCGTACT